TGCTGCCCTGCCGCCCTTGGCCTGCACTGCCTGCTGTTCCTTTCCTTGCACTTTCCCTTGCCCTTCTGCACTGTCCTTGCTGTCCTTGCTGCGCTGCACTGCCTTTGCTGCTCCTTTGTTTCGCCTGCCCTTACTCGCCCTTCTCGCCAGGATCCTGGGAACTAAACCACTTTCCTGCATCGCCTTGTTTCCCCCCTAGGAACTACTAAACCTCGCCCGAGCGGACTGCCATGGCCTCGCCAACTCAGCAGCTGCCGACACGACCGCATGGTTCTGCTGGACTCGGCCCGTCGACGACTACATACAAACGCTGCAATAAGTCTTTGCAATGGCAGTTGGTGTACACTGTCATAGCTGCACTGGTTGGGGCTGGATGGTGCTTCGGAGGTTTGCTCGAGTGCCTCGCCTTCAGATCGGGCCCCTGGGGATGCAATACGCGTGGGCCTCTGCATAGGTCGCTACGCCTACAACTGGGACGACGTGAACAGTTTTGTGAAATCCTCGCTGGAATCGGTGTCCCCTTGGCGCGGCCGCGATCGTCGACAATGGATGGAGGCTGGCGCTTCTGGAAGAGCCTCTGCACAAGTCTTGCAGGGCTTCGTAGCTTCGTGGATGTTCATGGCTACGCGACAAACAGATGGGCCTCTGCATAGGCGCCTGAGTGCCTTCAACAAGGTGGATGTCAGGTTCCCTGGAGTGTTCACTAGCAGTGATGGCTGCAGTGAGTGATGCTGGATGGGGTGCAACCCAGTGCCTCGTCAGTGGGCGCATTCCGGAGGAATCAACATGGATCGGCCTCAGCATGATCCCCGAGCCTGCCACTGATTACCAGGTTTGTGCGAGTGGCCCGAAGCCGTGGCTGGGCTTCTTGAAAGTGCTGTGTCGTCGACCGCTACCCAATGGGGGGCGCGTGATCCTTCCAGGACGAAGCGTACAGCAGGTTGCAGGTGCCCTCGGAAGTGAGTTCTGCAGTGATGCCGTGTGGGCTGTGTGAGTAGGCGCCTGAGTGCCGAACTGTACCTTTTCTGCGCACTGATCATTGACTGTGTGTCACGTCGAGCCGATCCCTGCAACAGTTGTCGGTTCGATTCTCCGATACTCTTGAGACCTGCGATGCAGTGTCTGCGGACGTTGCCATGTGGGAGCCAAAATACATACATACATACATACATACATACATACATACATACATACATACATACATACATACATACACACATATATATATACATATGTATGCATGTATGTATGTATGTATACATATATATGTATACACACATATATATATATGCTCGTGCGGTCGCTGCCGTGTTCAGGCAGTAGAATCCCTCAGTCTCCCCTTGATTAGTAGAGTCGGGTGGAGATGGTGGCGACGGGGCTGCCGCCTGGTCGCAGCCAGCGCTTCCGAGATGCTGCTTACCTTGAAGGGCCGAGAGGTCTGCAACTAAGGAGGAAGAAGGGCAGCGCTCCGGCGAAGAAAGCAGCAGAGCTCTCGGAGCTTGCCCTTGGCCTTGTGCCCCTGGCCGAAGTTCGGTCCAAAGCTTTGCCGACCAAGACCTTCAAGTTCACTGTGGACTGCCAACAGCCTGCAGAAGATACCATTATCGAGCCCAAGGATGCGCCCGGGGCAGGTTCTGTTTTGCTTCGCCCAGAGGATAACATTGACAATGGCGGCTGCCTTGCCTGTTTCGTAGGACTTCGAGAAGTTTTTGACGAACAAAATCAAGGACCCGCCGCAGAACTTTGCCCGTGCTGAAATGCCAGCCCATTGCAACCGCTGTCAGGTAGATGGGAAAACCGGCAATCTCGGCGAGAAGGACACCCGCAGTAGAATTCCGGAGTTGAACCTGAGCCTTTAATGGTCAGGTCAGCATCCGGAGGGAAAAGGCGAAGGTCCACGTTACCGCGGAGGTGCATGCAGAAGACTTATTCAGGATGCAGCGCATCTTTGCTGCCCTGCTGGACAGCAAGTTTATCTGCTCACGCGACCAAGCACGGAACCCAAGCACCAGCCTGGACACGTTCCCGCGCAATCCCCCCTCCTCCAACCCCCACTGTTATTTCCCGCCCCAACTTGCCAGCCTTGGCCTGCCTCTCTAGTTCCCGTTGAAGCCTCATGTGAGGGAGGGAGGTGTACCAGCTTTGGCGTGCGATGTGTTTATCCCCCGTTAAATGCCCTTGCAGACTGCATGTCAGGGAGGAGCCATGCCGCTCCACAGGAGGGCGGGTGTATATAGCATTACCATGGCGGGCGGGCGGTAGGGGGCCGGGGTGGCATGTGGGGGGGAGGGGTATCCATGAATGCGATACGCTGCTTGCCACTACGCCACTACATCTGCTTTGAAGGCCCCGTTCTCAAAGCGGTACTTGAGCCCCGGCAGCACTCCAGCAAAACTCTAGCGTAAGTGCTTCGTGTGGTGTGTCCAGGAAATACTTGGGCAAGAAGTATCTCAAGGCATGTCGGCTTGTCTCGTGTGGTGCATCCAACGCCGTCATGTGGAGCAGCTGTGGGGCTAGAAGAATTTCATGGTGCCAACCGCCAGGCGCAACAGCTGCGCGACTTCCTGCGTATCGTGGCCCCGTCAAGAACCAGCTATGAGATGCGTTGGGGCCCTGTCGGCTGGTGCACTGGGCAAAGAGCCAGATGCCACGTATCCGTGCAGGATACTTCAACATCAATGATGACAAGAATGAGGAGGACTAGTTAGTTTAGTGACCTAGATATGCCGGATGCTCGAGGGATCTGCTGCCGTGGAAAATCGTCATGAAACGCGGTTGCGAGTTGGCAGCCTCAGCTGAACATGTAAAGCAATGTGAAGGCTCACGTAGAGACTGGCATTGATGACGCCCGTTGCCATTTGAGGGCGGTTGCCCCCCTTTTCAAGCCAAGCCCGTCCGTGGCGGCATCGACGATGGTAGCAAAGGGGTTGCTCCGTGACTGACCAGGTTAGAGGCACAAAGGATATTACAAGTGCTCAGACGCCTGTTTACTATTGACTATTGCGCTTGGAAGCAACTCAGGAAAAGAAGAGGCCCTGCATCAGCGAAGAAAGCGGTCTGGAGCTAGGATGCTGAAGATGCTACGACGAAACGTTGAGGTTTGAGTCGTTTGAGTATCAGAGCTCAAGTCAGGCCCCTGTCTGTTGCAAGCACATGCTGAGACGCTGAAGTTCACCGTGGACTGTCAGCAGCCTGCAGAAGACACTATCATCGAGCCTAAGGATACATTACATTGCTCGGGGCGAGGGGTCATTCTGGGAGAATGCCCGTGGATGCCCCGCTTGGGTGAAGGACTTCGAGAAGTTTCTAGCCAACAAGATCAAGGACTCGTCTGCTTGCAGCAGCAGTGATCAGCAGTGCACAGATGTCGCGAAAGACCGGAGGTAGATGGAAAGACTGGCAATCTGGGAGAAAAGGCCAGCACTGAGTTGAAAGAGCCAGTCCACAGCGACTGACTTCGGCCGTCGGCCTCGCGTTGCTCTGGAATGTTTCGGGGCAGGTCAGCATTCACAGAGAGAAGGCGAAAGTGCACGTCACTGCGGAGGCCATGCCATTTTTACCAAGAGCCTCTGCCCTTTCTCACGTGGATCTCGGCTGTTTGGTGTGCTTTAAACCTGCCCCGCAGAGCAAGCTTTCAACATGCGGACTGCTCGGCATACGCCAGCAGACGCTCGGGCATGTCCTCTTTTGTCAGCTTCGTGTCGCATGTCGCAGTGCAAATCACATCACCCTAAGCAGGCTCCTTTCTCCAAGCGATACCTGCCTCTTTGCCAGCAGCTACGGTTGGGGGGGCCTCCGATGTCATCAGACCAGGTCAGGGTCATTCAGTTCATGCCTGGTCACTGACAGGAAGTATCTGGGCAAGAAATACCTGAAGGCGGACTTGCTCCGCATCTGGATCCGAATGAACCCCAGAATCTGGCCAGTCGCAGCAGCTGCGGGACTTCCTCCGCATCGTGGCTCCGTCGAAGACGTCCTACGAGATGCGCTTGCGGCTGAGCAGCCTTCTGGCAGTTGAAGTTGTCTCTACTCTGTACAACACATGATCTTTGCAGGCTACTTCAACATCAACGATGATAAGGGCGAGGAGGAGCGTCACCGTCCGAGTACCGTGCGCCACGGCGACATGTGCTTCGAGAGGACTGAACGACTTTGGGCTGAGCGCTTGACTGGGAGGGACTGCCTGTGGCGAAAACTGCTCCATAAGCTTTCTGAACGCCGGGAACCTCTGGGAGCAGCGATGTCCGGTCACCTCTCCGGCAGGCAGCTTGGACTCCCGGCCGGACAACATGAGCATCCCATGCATGCCTGAGACTGCCAAGCAGGTACTCTGCGCGTAGATTTGTAGGAAGCTGCCTTGGAGATGGGGGCTCAGGAGTGAATTGCTTCTTTTTGGCAGCGCACGGGCTCAAAAATCGAGTCGCTTCTCCTGTTTCCCAGTATCCTGTGCATGTACATAGCGTACTTTACATAGCTGCTGGAGGTTGAGGAAACATGCCAAGTGAGAATGCCCAACAGCTCCACTCCATAAAAGGAGCGCCTGATGGTTTCTGCGGGGTAGATGCCGTCCGGAATCCACAACCACAGCATTTTGCACGATGCAGGTGTCGCCACACAGCGATCCTGTGCCGTCGCCGTTGCTCACGAATTAAAGTGTTCGAGTCCCCAAGAAAGCCAGCTCAACTTCAGACAAAGCGTACTTCGCCAGACAGAGAAAGCCCTGCAAAGCAGGAGGTAGACGACCAGACCAAGATGTTGTGCAGAGTTTGCTTGCCTGCATCGTCACCCCCGGCAAAACGGTTATGTCGTGATTCTGGCTGGCTTGTGCTTGGATTCCAGATCTGCGCCTGAATCAGCGTGAGTGCATTTCGAGGTGCCGGGAAGTGGACGGACATTTCATGATGTGGAGTGGAAGGGCCAGTTTCCGAGACATGTTTAGTTTTCAAGACGTGCTTTAGCCACTCTGACTGCAGCCAAGCAATGCATGCACCCCAGCAAACGGCGGCGCCCGAGCATTGCAAGTTCATCATGACTCGCGGAAAGCCACGGATACTGACACGACGTTCAAGCGCATGCAATGGGAATTGGGACGACCGGGCCGTTCAGCTTGAATGACCTTCATGACATGCTGCTGGGCCGATTCTTAAAGCTTTGTGTTTTCGTGCATGCCGGTGTTGATGCTGGGCTCCGGAATGGGCGAGGCTGCCCCGCTGAGCAAAAGCTCGAAACATTTCTAAACTTCCTAAGCCGTGGAACTTATGAGCACAGGCTGCCATCAAAGCTCCGGGTTCTCCCGCCAGAGAGGCCACGCGAAGCTGAGCTTTGGTGGAGGCGTGACAGCAAGATGTGAGATGATGTGAGACAATGTGCATTTTTGAGTCGTTCCTTTGGTGGAGGCTTTGCAGCTCGGGCAGCAGGTCGGCTCATGGGAGCTTCGGGATGTTCGGGTACTGGAGTTCGTGCATGGAAGGTGGGGGACGTCGACCTCATCCACGTCCGCCACGCCGGCAAGCAGATGCTGGGCAGATCAAACAGCCGAGCACGAGCTGGCTCCAAGTAATTCGAGAAAGATCCAAAGTGGCTCCTTCGGTTTTTTGAAGGTTTTGATGCTCTTAGCATGGTGTGGCATCTGCTCGAGCAGAGCTGTGGAAAGGACTGCGCTCATCGTTCCAGCTCTTCTTTATGGACCAGGCATTTCCCTGAAGAGACATGACTGTGTCAAACGGTGGCTGACTGCTTGAAATCTGTACAGGAGCCGCAGGTCTACGACACGGATGCGGACCATGATGCATCTTGTCTGACCTGAGGTCGGTAGCAAGCGCAGACTTCTCTCTTCGGCAAGCTTGGGGCCCAGTTGGACGATGATGACCCGGTGGCAGAAGAGGAGATGGCCGAGAAGGAGGAGGTACCGTTTCCGCTTCTTGAGGGATTCAGCCTGGGGCGCGTCGAAGCATCTTGTGTCTCTGCCATGTCATGCCTGCGAGGTTCTCAATGACACACTGGGCAAGGCAAAGCAGGCAGTGACCGGGCATCCATCTCTGCAACCGCAGTCGGTCTGAGGGACTAGCAGTGATGCAGCTCAGTACAAAGTTCATGCTGCGCGCATGCCAGGGATGTTGTGCGAAACGACGGGCCTGCACCTTCAATCTGCAGCCACTGCGCAGGGCTGTCTTTGGTCCTCTGGTTTTCTGGTCTCTGGTCCCCTGGCCCTGCGGCTCCCCAACACCCTCCACTCTCTTCTTTAGCCTTGCCGCGTCTCGCCCGGGTCGCGGGCCACAGGCTGCGGCCCGTGAAAAGTTGGGGGCGGGTTTAGCAAATGAGATATATGATGAAAAGGAATCACCAAATGAAGGGGCGTGCTTCAGACATGTGATGAGGGGCGTGTTTAAGATTTGTGATTAAATGAGGGGGCGTGTCTGGGTTATATGATGAACCTGAACCGCCCAATAGGGGAGGGGTGTGTGTGCTTAAGATATATGATGAACCAGAATCGCCACATGAGGGGGCGTGTTCAAGACAAGATATGTATGATGAGCCGGAATCGCCACATGAACGGGCGTGTTTAAGAAGTATGATGAGAATCGCCAAATTTATAAATGAGGGGCATGTTTAAGATGTGTGACGAACTGGAATCGACAAATGATCCGGCGTGTTTGAGATATATGCTCAGCAACAACAGCAGCAACAATTCAATTTACCTGGAGTGCCTCTTAAGTACACGCGTGTGTGTGCGCGCGCAGAATGCAAAGTCATGTCTGCCCTCTCTCGTTGCTAAGTTTTCGATGTTCTCGCACGAACCATGCTGGTTCACACATGAGAAGACCTCCCCAAGCATGCATCAAGACACCATCGACAATCCTTCATACATTGCCAGCTCCCTGCCAGTGTTTTGCGCTGCTTCGTCAGCCTCCGCCCGGCTTGTTCAAGCCGCGCAACTTCGCTTCAAAACGACATCCTGCCAGCAGCGCCAGAACGCATATGGATCCTTTCAGAACCCCTGATACAGACAT